GGGGGCAGGGAGGGGGCGCGGGCCCCCCGCCTGCCGCAGGCAGCGTTTATGCTGGGGACGAGGAGGGGGTTTCTGCATCTGAGGGCGGTCGAGCACCGGGACAGGTGCCCGGGGGAGCTGTGACCTCTCCATCCCTGGAGGCGGTGACGAGCAGGCTGGACCGACACGTGTCCGGGCTGCTTCAGTCTGGGCTCGTCCTGCCTGGGGCAGGGGCCTGGGGGCTGGGGGCTATGTGACTCTGGGAGGTCCCTTCCAGCCCTGCATGCCCCTGCCCCTGAACTGCTTTTCCCCCTGACCGAACATCCCCAGTTTCTCCCCGTTCCTCAGAGCTTGCGCTCAGCGCCGTGCTGTCCCGGGCTGCTCATCTCTGGGCTCTCCCCAGTTGCTCTGCATCCTTCTTAGAAAGCGATGACCAAAACCCCACACAGCCCCACAGCTAAAGCCCGGCCCATGCTGCAGAGCAGGGCGAGCAGTGCAACCCGCTCCCTGGCACGCAGCGTTTCACACAATCATCTGAAACGAGGGCAAGGAAATCCCTGTTGCGGCAGCCCAAGACTGCCTTGTGTCTTCCCGCAGCCACCTGCGGCCATCTCGTGTTGAGTGTGCGATGCACGGTCCCCACCAGACCCACCGCCGCAGCACCTTGCCCTCCCGCCGTGCCCGGGCTGCATCTGTGCATTTGCTTTTTCTCCCCCAGCTGCGGCTTGTCACATTTCCTTTGCATTTCCCTGCTCCGCGCACGGCCTGGGCGCACTGGTGCACATGGTGAAATTGCCTTTTTTTCTCATTTAATTGCATCATTCTTTACACATATGGGGGGTTTTCTGCACTTTAAATGTGTTTGTTGCAGTGCAAGATAAACCGCATTCTGATGTATTTTAGTTTGCATCAACCCAAATGAATATGCTACAGCCATTGATCTGTCGCGTGTACATAGTAACTCACTGAACGACATGTAATAAGCCCCTTTCCCCCCAGATGCCACGTCAATTTGCAGGTCTATGTGCGTAGTGTGTATTGTCGGACACCACGTGTAGCAGCCCAGCCTGACACGAATCAATCTTCTGCTCGCCCCCGCAGACCTCCTGCCCGCCGCACGTGGCCCTGACCAGCGTGCACGCCTGTGCTGGCACGTGCTGCCCCTGGCTGGGGGCTTGCTTGCGAGGGGCCCTTTCATCTCATAATCCACCCTGGTTACATCAAGCAATTAATAACTGCTTGGCCACCACGAGTGCTTTCATTTGCCCTTCACAGTAAATAGTGGCTGCGGACATCTTACACTTTGTTTTCACTTTGTGGGCATGAGGGCACAAGCGGACGGCACAGTCAGACCCACGGGTTCTCCTGGATGGTCAGCAGACAGCCCCACCAAGCCACTGCCACCTTCATGGACACCCGTGTCCACCCCACATGCCCATGGCCAGGGTGCAATTTGGGCAAAAAGAGAACCAGCCATAGATAGCTTCCTGGTGAGACCAAAGGGCCATTTTCCCCAATGCAGAGGAGAGTGAGGAGTGAAACTCGGTGGGAAATAAAATTGGGAGAGCAAAAATGTGAATGAAAACTGGGAATTACTTCAAAAGAAAGTTGTGGCATGGCCAATTACTGTAATTCCACAATCAAGGACAAGGACAGCTTTGGCTCAGAGCCTGCCCGGGCCCAGTGGGGAGGTGAGAGCAGCAATTGGAAATGAGAAACATATTGAAAATGAGGAATTAAAAGCCATGATTGTTAATTTAGAAGCTATAAACAACAAGAGAAAACTGTTCGTGATGATGGAGAAAGAGCATTATTATTCAATTAATATTTGCAGAAGCCGGGAGGTTCACTCCGGGCCCGTGAAGAGGACGATGTCCTTTCCAGTCCATTAGTAACTACAGGGAATATCTATCAGTTTCTCATAGGGATAAAGGCTTGAAGCGTGAAGAGCTCAGTCTCTTTATCCAAAAGAAGATAAAAAAGGGCCTTAATTGTAGTGTACCAGTGCCTCTCCAGTGAGGAAACCTGAGCGTGGCGGAGCCAGCAAGGGCACGTGGCTGGGCGTGGAAGATAGACACTTCCAGCTGGAAATGAGACGCGCATGGGCCAACACTAGTGGGGAGCCAGGCCAACCCGCTCTGATATTACACAGGTAATTAAGGGCTTTGTGTGTAACTTTCTTAAAGAGGAGAATGGAGAAAGCGTGAGAAACCTCTGGTCACTGCAAGCTGAGGTCAGGAACGTGCTGTCGTGCACTGAACGAAAGGTCATGTTGAATGCAAAAGGCGGGTATTTCCCGAGCTGGGAACGTTACCGGTTTCAGGACAAGGCACGGGCCACTGACAGCAAGAAGACGGACAACTGCTCCTGGGGGAGAAACGGTTGGTAAAACTAAACACGGGGGTATCCCGCCTATGACTTGGTGTGAACCCCAAATCTCTGATGTGCATCCAGCAGCAGGTGTTCCCAACTTTCTTCCCTCTTAAAAACATAACCATAACCTTGGAAAGTTTCTAGGTGTAGTGATAAAAACAGCTCAGTTGGCAGCACTGGCAGGCGGTGGGCTGGTCTTGCTCCGGATCCCTGTCCCCACGCTCTGCCTCCGCTCACGGCTGCTCTCTCTCCCCGCAGGTAGCTGCCACCGGCCCCATGGACGGGGCGAACCAGACGCAGGTGACAGAGTTCGTCTTCCTGGGCTTCTCCCGCGTCCTGCAGGGCCAGGCCTTCGTCTTCCTGGCCTTCCTCGCCATCTACCTCGTCACCCTGCTGGGGAACTGCCTGATCCTCACCCTCATCGTGCTGGATCCCCAGCTGCACAGCCCCATGTACTTCTTCCTCGGCCACCTCTCCTTCCTGGACATGTGCTACTCCTCCGTCACGCTGCCCAAGATCCTGGCCAACCTGCGGCACCAGCGGGAGACCATCTCCTACCGGGAGTGCATGGCACACATGTTCTTCCTCATGACTTGTGCCGGGGCTGAGTGCGCACTCCTGACCATCATGGCCTTTGACCGGTACGTGGCCATCTGCAAACCCTTGCACTACACCCGCATCATGAGCAGGGGCATATGCATCCTGTTGGCCATGGCATCCTGGCTCTGGGGCATCCTGGACTCGGCCATCCACACCTTCCTGGCCACCGACATCTCCTTCTGTGGAGCCAACCAGATCCACCACATCTTCTGCGACGTCCCTCCCCTGCTGAAGATCGCCTGCAGTGACACCTACGTCAACGAGATCACGTTACACTTGGCCAGTATCTTCATGGGCCTGAGTCCATTTGTGCTCATCATCATCTCATACCTCTACATCCTGCTGGCCATCCTCCGCATCCGCTCCAACACGGGCAGGCGCAAAGCCTTCTCCACCTGCACCTCCCACCTGGTCGTGGTCACCCTCTACTTTGGGATGGCCATCCTGAACTACAACCGGTGGCTACTCCTTGGAGGTGGACACGCTGGTCTCCACACTGTACTGCATCCTCACCCCCATGCTCAACCCCCTCATCTACAGCCTCCGCAACCAGGACGTGAGGGGCGCCCTGAGGAGGACCCTGGGGCACCATGAGAAGGACAACGCATCCCCACGCGCACAGCCAGGTGTGGACTAAAGTGATAGCTGGGAGGAGACCCTGCCCCAGCACAACACCAAGGGCTCAGCCACGTGCTGATGGGGAAAATCCCTGTTTGCATTTCTGGGACAGAGTCACAGCAAAGTGGAGCTGGAAGGGGCTTGAGAGGTCATGTAGTCCCATGCCCTGCTCCAGTGCGGATCCACCCTGTCTACTCCAGCTCAGACACACATGTCTAGTCTGTACTTAAAGACTCGCAGTGATTGCACCCATTGTCTCTGGGATCCGTTGCTTCTCAGTTCCCCGCAACATCTAACCTGTGTCCCTCGGTGCAATGCCAGTCCCTTGTGTCTTGTCCTGTCCCCTCTCAACTTACAGAGCCAGCAATTTCTACCCTCTTCGCAACAGCTACTTTTTTTAGTTGAAGCCTATTGTCGAAGCCCCCCTGCTCCCTGTTCCAGACAAGATAATCCCAGTACTTCTGACCTGTCCTCCCATGTCTTCATTTCTAGACCGCTCACCATTTCATTTGCTCTGTCTTTTAGCCTCTCCACATCTCTCCTACAATGTGGCACCTGAAACTGGATCAAGGTGAGGCCTCAGCAGTACTGAAAGGAGGGAATGCCCTGCACCCCATGACGTGCATACAACACTCCCTATTACAAATTCACATTAGCTATTACTGGTTTTTGCAACAAAAACACAGTATCAAGTCCTATTTGACTGCAGTTCACTGCAACCCCCCGGCCTTTCCTGCAGACCTGCCACCTGTGGCAGAAATGCCACCGTCAGTGCCCCTCTCCAGAGACCTGTCTCTGCCAGCCTGAGAGGCTGGTGTTGAATCCCTCAGGGAGGGAATCTCCCTCCCTGTCTGCATGACAAAAGCCTGGCGCCTGGGAGACGATGCTCTGGTCACCTGGGCAGGGGGGAAAGGCCCGGCCCTGTGCACAGGCCCAGGTAGCCAGGGATGCTTGGTAGATTGGTCGGCTTGTGGCCAGTATTGGCAGCTTTGATTGGACCGGGCTGCTGAGGTCAGAGAGGTTATTTAAGGGCCCGGGCCAGGAAGAAGGCAGCCTTTAGCCATGCAGTCATCCAGGTGAATCTGAACCTGGCTCTCTCCTCATCACCGCATGCTCCAAGAGTGACCTGCCTCCAGAGGGAACTCCAACCACCTCTGGATGATGCGTGTGAGTAAGCTACTCGAGATCCGATTAGATATTTAGCTTCAG